CAACAGCAACAGCAACAGCAACAGCAACAGCAACAGCAACAGCAACAACACGTAATGCTTTTTGAAAATAATTAAATTAAGTGCAGTTTAGCATCGTTTCGTAGATTTAAAAATTTCGTTGCCACTTCTGAAATTTAACAGCTAAGTTAGTTACCTAAAGTACTAACAGCTAACTAACAGCTGACTCAAAAGAGACAATTTAACATTTATAAAAATGTAATAACCACTTTATTAAGTAGTGCCTTTGATGTACCACTCAGTTGTATCATAAATAATAAATAGATAGATAGAAAATACTTTTATTCAGCACAAATACAAACAGAAACAAAACATTTGCAATAACTTGACAAAATATAACACAAAATCACATGGAACATACATTATTAATTCAATACACATTATATAAAACACAAACTGTGATAAAAACAAATACGGTGAACGAAATATATAAACAAATACTGTGAGAATTAACAAAATTTTATTTATGACTACAGTTGAAATGGCCCTGACTTTCAATTCTATCCTGAGTTCCTTGTAGCAAAATATTAGGTAATGTGTATTGTTGTCAATATTAAGTAAATTATTACATAATAAATCAGAATGGTAATAATTTTAGTGGTAAGACATTTATTACCATTCTGGTAATGGTATCCACCAGTACCATTTCAGAGTTAGCAGCTGAAGCTTAAATTCTTCTCTTAACCTTTACTCAATCGATCTACTACCCTAACTTCCGCGTAACATACCTCCTAGATATCAAAGCAATCCTATCTTTTTTATCAAATGTACGCTTCTGCTTGGATTGTAAATTATTTATATATTCTTTATGTGAATCTATCGAGGCTGCTCGTTTTATTAACTTGCCTTGTAAATTCTCCACTTTATTTACGCGAACAGGTTTAAAAATTTCGTTTTCCGAATTATATTTTATATTTATTTTTCATATGGAGCCGCGATGACATTGTGAGAAATATTTTGAGGCAACTTGTTATTTTCCGGCAATGCAGACTTTGAAGGACGGGAGGAGAAAATGGACTGCCGACTTAGATTGGATGGATAAAACTTACTTTTTCTTTCTTATTTTTTTTTAATTTGATAGATATATTGTCCAGTGTATGTGCATAGTTCGTGCTCACCCTCCCAGATGAACAAGAACTGTCTGCATTCAGGGAAAATATATTTATTTAATTATTAGAAGTCCTTCATATGGAATATCCCCATCCCATATGTATGTTAGGATATGTTGTTAGGGTTATATGTGTGTTTGTTCTTGTTTGTTTAAAGAAAGTGAGAAAAGCTGATGGAATGTGGTTAGCTGCAGGATGAGGGCTGAGGCAGCTGGGAGATCAATATTGATGTAACCCAGTGAACATCCGATGGATGCTCAAGCCTGTGTCGTCGTTGTGGCAGCATGCACGTTGAAGACAATTTAGGGAAACAGTTAGGAAGTTTCAGTAGTGATGTTTAGAAATTTTGTTAGGATCATTCAGTCAGGCTAGGGTCTCTGAAATAAAGTGTTAGGGTTTAGTCAGGTTCCCTAATTAGCTAGGATAGCGAGTAATTATATTTTGATTTGTTGATTAGGATGTGGTCATGGTCTGTCCTTTTAGATAGGTTTTTGGCAGACTAAAGCCATAGCCTCCTCGGTGGTTACTTGTTGGTAAGGTAATAGCTTCCGAGCAGTGTGTGGCTAGCCTATAGTAAAGGCTGATCACTGATGTAAGTTGCCTATCATAGGTAGAGCACCAGCTAGGGATATTCACCCCTTCAGCTGTAAGGAATGTGTGTCTAGGCTCTACTGTATGAGTAGAAACACTGGCTGAATGAATAGTTTTGTAATTAGAATGTGTTTTGAAAAATGAAGTAAGAAAAGAATAGAGCATCTTGAGATAACGAAATATAACCCAACGCCGAAAGTATGTAAAAAAGTGCAATAAAGTATATTTTGAAGATTATTGCAGTTTAAATTCATAAAAGTACCTCTCCCTACGCAACCCAAGCTACGCCTCAGTTACAGTACGCAAATTTTTTATTCAAAATTCAAAATTCGTCGAAAGAAAAGTTGTTAGCAGATGTAGATTCATGCTTTTTTCGCGCTTCCCACTTAAGTCGCGACATCAGCAATGCTACCAATCTGAATTTATGTTAAAATACAAACGTAAAAAATAAATAATATAAAATATTTGAATATTTGAAAATATTTGAAACATAATATCATGAATACCTGTCAAAGAGTTTAGGAAAAAAATACAAAAATTTCTAAGTATTTTTCAAGAAAATGATGTTTTTAATACAAAGTTATTTACTAAACACAAAGTTATTTACAATATTTAAGTACACCAAGTTGCGAGTGCATTCAAGAAGTTTACAGCGTAATGTGTTGAAGGAAGAAATCCATGTGCGAAGTCACTCTGCCATACGCTGTTGGATGGGATACCATACATCCATCAGTTGATCCGAAAGAAACGACACCGATCTGCAATTGAAATACATTTACAAATATTTGATTTTATTGAATATTATGATGCTTTACTAGCATGATATTAATTTATTTTTCGCTGACTAGAGATGTCGCTGTAATAACAGATGCTGTTTCGAGCCAGATCGAAGATATTTTTCTTTGTGTTCGATCTTTGTATTAATATTATATTACACACGTAGGTCAATGCACGCAAATAATACTTATAAATTTGCATGCAGTTTGTGTGTGGGAACCAATTCCCAAGTGTTAAGTTATTCGAGTCCTGTTAAATAATCATCACGATAATAGTAATGTTACCATACCAAGATTGTCCTGTTATTCCTGGTAAAGGCGAGTGGTCCACCGGAGTCACTTGAGCAGGCGCCAACGACCCCGGCGCCACTGGTGCAAATATTGGTTGGTAGTAATAATGCTGGATTGTAGAACTCTATGCATTCTTCATTGGACATTACGCTAACGCTCACATATCGCAGGGTTTCTGACACTCCTGAAGCTGTAAGAAGAAGGGATACAACTGTATGAAAGCAGCTACAGTTAACCTGCTGAAAATTGTAATAAACTAAATATTTTTGATTAAATATGTAACTTTTTTGTAAACATTAAAAAAAGTTTCAATAATAACAAATTGCATTATTTATTCTTATAGAATAGGATAATGTGTTTGCTACTATGATATTCAAGTAAGTTTTGTGAAAATATTATTATCATTATTGTATATATATTATCAACACGAAGATCGATTCGATCAGCGAAGAAAAATTCGTTTGATTTGACTGGATTCAATTTTTTTTGTTTATTATATTATATTGTGTTTATGTGACGGGACGAACAACTCGTGCGACTGGTGGTAAGTGATACGTCTATTCATAACAGTTGCAGTGCCACTCAGAGCTTTAAATCATAAAGATCTGAGGAGCACTGCCACTGCAGGGTGTCGCTGACACTAGTTAAGTCTGTGGTATCTTGACGTGAATAAAGCTAGCGGGCCAGATGGAATTCCAGCGGTGGTCCTATGTAACTGTGCACCTGAGTTGTCTCCAGTTCTCACACGCCTGTATCGCTTCTCACTTGAGAGTGGTGTAGTCCCTAGGCCCGTGGGAGCAAACGTGCAACCTGTGCCAAAAAAGGAAGCAGAGCTGACCCTGTCAAGAGGAGGTGACTGAGACCTATCTCAGTCACTTCCATACTCTGCAAGACTATGGAACGTGTACTCAACAACTGTCTTCTGTCGTACCTTGAAGACCACGACTTCCTTAGTGATCGCCAGTACGGATTCTGACGAGGGCGACCTACTGGGGATCTTGTGTATGCGTGTCACGTATGGAGCGAGGCTATAGAAAAGCAAGGTGCTTCACACTTTCAGTGTCTTTGGACATTTCTAAAGCCTTTGACAGGGTCTGGCACGCAAGCCTTTTAAGTAAGCTTCCTTGTTACAGGCTTCCCACTGACATTTGCAATTGGATCTCGGATTTCTTGAGCGAACGTTCCGTTTGAGTGGTTTTAGAAGGCTACGCTTCCGAACATCGGGCGATAGATTCCGTTTAGAGGCCGGAGTTCCTCAAGATTTCGTACTGTCTGCAACACTCTTTCTGCTGCTTATCAATGATATGTTAATTCCAAGTACCTATGCGTATGCTGATAACAACACAGTTGTAAATAGGTACTTGGCCAATGCTAGGGGCAGTGGAGAGGAAATCCAGTCTTGTCGAAAGGTTACGGTTAAGCATTTGGATTTGATACTCAAAGCAGTCTCCGATTGGGACGATGCCAATCTTATCAAATTTAATGCTACCAAAACGCAGGCGTGTTTATTCTCCACAAAACGGAGTCCCTTTTGCTGACTCCGACTTTTCGTGATGTATCCATACCGATAGCCGACTGTCTCCAGCTACTTGGAATGAACCTGTCGTCGAATCTGAATTTGGCAGATACATTGAATCTAAGGCCAAAAATGCAGCCAGGAAGGTTGGCATCCTTTCCAAGGTGAGGCGTTACTTCAGACCGGGACATGTGCTTCGGCTGTATCAAGCACAATTCTGGTCGTATGTGCAATACTGCTACCACCTTTGGGATGGCTCTGCTACGTACCAACTGGGCACCTTGGATACAATAGACAAGCGTGCCAAGAGGCTTATAGGTGATTCGGAATTAGTAGAGGCGAAGCTGCAGAGCCTTGAACACCGCCGTAAATTTGTCTGCTTATCGGTATTTTACAGGATTTATCACGAAGAGTGTGCGATGGAATTACACGATTTAATTCCGTATTCCCATTCCCATCATCGGGGGAGTAGACGTAGACTTGGAATCCAAGCCTATGTCTGATCCCATTTTCCATTGGTCTGGATATTCCAAAGATTCGCACGAATCGTTATGTTTCCACATTCACATGACGAACGGCTATGGAGCGGAATTTTCTGCCTGCAGACTTATTTCTGAACGTTATAACTTGGACCTTTTCAAGGCGAGAGAGAAAAGGCATTGCTTAGGTGTGCATGCTCCATTGTCGACCTCATCGTCACTTTCCATCCGGTGAGATAGAGGTCAAATGCGTACTTACATTTGTATAAAAAAAAAGGTTGACAAGTTCCATGTCCCTGTAATTTCACCAGCTCCTTTACTGCTTCATGGCAGAAATAGGTATGGCAATACTTCTCTGGCCGAATTTTTTCACAAGGAGCTCTACTGCTGTCAGGAGCGCCTGTTGCTTCTGCTGAGTCTATCGAAGATCTGCTGACTCGGTCTACAGCTCAGTTGGCAAGACCGGTGGCCCCGGTATGGCAACAGACGCTAGTTGGAGGCCAATCAGATCAAAGGTTTTTTTTTTCTTTCTGTTATTCAATCTTTGCATGAATAATAAACGGTGAGTTACTTACAGACATTTGTAAGACCGTAGCCTGAAATAATTGTAAGCTCTCCAGTGAAGTCTTCCTCAAGTTCTGACCCAGATGGTAGACGAATAGGATAGAGGGTGTCTGAAAAAGTAATATTTGATTTGATATAGAAATTTCCGGTCCAGTCGTCCTAAGTGGACAATAATTCTACAATCGAAATTGTAATCATGGACGGTGCTAAAAATAGAAATTCTTGCACCAGTGATATGTCAGCTTTTTGGTAATAATTGAATTATGTAAGTGTAAGGTTTTCTTTTGACAAGTCGTCATAGTACAAATACTAACTTGACAGTGTGACAGCATTTGGAAGGTACATAACGGCGACGTCGTTGCGTATCATAGCTGGGAACCAATCCGGGTGCATTATGACTTGGTTGGTTTTAGGTGTAGTGATGCCATCGTTGCCGAATAACAATACGGTGCCTAGTCGGGCAGACATTGTAATAACTTGACTAAAACCGTCGAACCAGCAGTGGGCAGCTGTGATAATTCGCGTTTCACTAACCAAGGTCCCTCCACATACGCCTACACCAGTAATCCCAGCTATTTCGAGGTGAATTCCAGCCTAGAAGGAAAAACAATAGAAAATAATAATACTGTTTGTTGTTCTCAATCAAATTACTAAGATCTTGCTCTTTCATATTTCAAGTAACCTATCAATTGAGTTATGATATATTATAGTTTATCACTTGATGACCTGATAGGGGAATTGTCCCAAAACAGCGGCACTTCCTCCAATGATCCTTTGGTTGTTCAAATACGCTTCTTCGGCTTTGCGTCTTTCCTCCGCATATATCACACTTTTCTGTAAGTATCCATATGCAGAGAGCCCTAAGGCTCCTTTAGGCTCAAACGATCTGGCCTGGGCATAAGCTGAGACCAGCAACAGAGTTAGTATTGCGAACTTCATTATGAGCAATGATTCTAAATTAATAATTATTCTACCGACAACGGTTTTATTTATATGTCAGACTTGTGATAATAAACAGATAAGATTAGAATTTATAACAAATGGAGCTACTAATTATTTTGTTTATAGAATGAAATTTGATTTTGATAAGATAATTAGTTACGATTTTGGGATTTTTAGTGAATTCCCACAATTGATAAATAAATTTAGGGGATGGATAATACCCATCTTGAAGGTCAATAGCTTGGAATAGTGTGCTCATATACGTAAGAGTTAAGAAGTTAGATTAAGACGCAAGAAATTAAGTGCCGTAACACGTTCGTGATTACCTAAGTATGTCCAGTTTCCTGTACAATTGTTTTACTTGTACTTTAAACGCGAAGTTAATAGTTTGTGTAAGTATATGTCCACTATGTTAAACCATCCCATAGTCGGGGGGATCGAATGCTTCAGATTTTCCATTTCTCATTATTAATAATTATAACTGTTGAACAAATGGGAAATTGAATTATTTTTTTATTTGCAAATCGCGTATTGGTATTTGTTTCTAAAACAAACCAACGTAGGCGTTATTCAGGTTCCATGGTCACGGATGACTGAGATGGTAAAGTCATCAACCAGCTATGTTTGTAATTGCAAAAGCCCAAGTTGCAATTTCATTCGATTGTTATAGGTTGCACCGGATATAATCGGAAGGAGTAGGTCATGCTTTAACGAAATTCACTCGCTTTCACCAATATTACCTGCCTGCTTTTTTATGATATCAAGCGACGAGGCGAACAAGTCGTGCGCCTGGTAGTAAGCGACACGCCTATCCCTGATAGGTACAGTGCCACTCAGAGTTTTGAATCGCAAAGATCTGAGGGGCACTGCCATTGCACCCGTCTCTCTGAGAGGTCACTGTTGACAAATTCCATGTGCCGTATTTTCACCAACACCCTTCAAAACCGGAACACAGTAATGTGAGCATTACTTGACGGCAAAAATAGGGCAGGTGGCGTTTTCTTCCCTGGACGAACTCTTTCGCAAGGAGCTCCATTGCACTAATAACTAATAATAATTTGAAAACTTAAAAAGGTCATTAAACTCGAACTAATACTGTCAACGAAATTTGGCGATTTATTTATAAATTAAATCAAATAAATAATATTTACACAATGAGGAATTAGCTCGTGTACACATAGTTATGTGATAATTAAACTATGAATTATCAATAGCAAAAACAATCTTCAGTGTATAAATATTTGAATAAACAAAGAAATTAGAAAGTGTGTACAAGTAAATATGTGTGTATCATAAAAAAGCACTTAACTCTTGGTAGCATAAAAAGAGAATCAACGAAAAAATCTTTGGGTGTCATTTTCGCAAAAATTATGATAATGTTGGTTGACGCGTTATTCCTTATCAGCATTCAATTGTAAAATGGCCAAAATCATCGTGGCAAGGTTTAAGAATTTTCCATCATACTACCCTAAGGAACTAATTTCTAACCGTCAACTTAGAGACTCTATTTTATTTGATATTTACTCGTTGCTATTATTTGTTCGTTGCTATATTCATCTAACAAAATATTTCTGATGCGACTAATTTCATCTTTGCTTGACTGTACCCCGTTTTAATCCAATTTTTGTCTCTATAGTAAAAACAGATGGAAATTCGAGTTTAAGAGAGTTTATTCATATAAGACTGTACAATTGACTTAAATAAGAACTTATGGATTAATTAAGCTTTCTTAACAATAATAAGAAGTACTTCGGCTAGTATAAAAAAAGTTTTCGACAGTAGTGATATACTTAAGTTTTTTCATGTGGGTATAATAAAAACCATTGTATAGCTATGACAAACGAGTACAAACTTAGTATACGAAGTACTTAATATTTTATTTATTACTAATTTTGGTTTCTTTTGAGTAACTTTTCGAATTTATGCTTTTTAGTTCCTTTTACTATATAAGGTTTCATATTTTCTTTTATAATTTACGACAAACGTCGTAAATTTTTGCACTTTAAATGTGTAATATTTCTTTTGGCAAAGTTTGTCCAAAGTGGACGTAATAATTATTTGCATTTCAAGTCACAATTTTTGGGTAAGTTTGTGTTTATTTTAAAACTAATATTTGAATGTATGTTTTTAGACATTATGTTTTGTAATAGCAAACATGTTTAAATAGTTTTGTTCGTTTAAATAAATTTGGTGTATAATATTCCTTTTAATTATTATTAGATATTAATTATTAGACGGTTCTAATTAAAATGAAAATTAATGATAAATAAAAAAATATGAATAGGTTTTCTTTTGTGATATTTGTTGTAACAAAAATTAAGAACGTAATGCTTTTTGAAAATAAATATTAAGTGCAGTTTAACACCGAATGGAACATTTTAAAAGTTCGTTGCCACTTCTGAAATTTGACAACTAAGTTAGCATCTAAAGCACTAACAATATGTCTGAACTCAAAAGAGACAGCTTAATACTTTTAAAAATCGAATTACCACTTTAATAATTAGTGCCTTTGATATTCCTTACTCAGTTGTATCACAAATAATAAATATTAGGGGTTAAAGTATGAAATTGCCGTTTTATTGCAATAGGT